GAAAAGCATTTACAAAATCAGTTAAATCTCTGTCAAATAATAGCAATAACGCGTATACCCTCTCGTTTTCTTTTACAGTCTCATTTGTAAATATACTTAGCAATGAATGTAACTTGCCATGCATAACAGAAGGTGCCAACAACTAAATCTCTCCTCAAAATGAACTGCAAACACAGAGAGCACTCTTCAACATTTTTACAAATAATTTTTTTAATACCCCAAAGCGAAATCCCAAGTATCGCATCCTACCTTTAAAACTCTTTTTTGAAAGTCATCGTCTTTTAAAACTTGTGTTCCTGAAATATACAATAGTAACTGCAAACTCAGAAAACTATTGGGCTGTAAACAAAATTAGGAATCAGTGCAGTTAGACAGATAAGATACACAATTATATTCTCCCAGCTTGACAGATAACTGGCTCTTAATATAATTATGGGTCATTATTGCTCTGGGCATGTGTTTGAAAACATGAATTTTGTTTTTTAGCAGACTCCAATGAATTTCCCTTGGTGGACAAAGGACCTTTAAGGATTTACAATCACTCAAGACACAAAGAAACTCGCACTTTTCATTTGTTTTCAAAGGCTCTGTCCCACCTCCTGCACTTCCCTGGCTCTTCGGAACTCTGCTCACACTTACTTCTCGAGACGCAGCGGCACAGGACCATGTGTCAGAGTGTGGCGATCAGCTTAGCGAGTCACAGACCAGCTGTCAAAATGGCTCGCACCCTACGTGTTTATGACAAAGTATTATCGCTACTAACGAAGAGCACGTTTCAGGAACACGGTCTCAGGAATGTCACTGCAGACGTGGGGTTAATACCAGGGGCGTGGAGAGGCTCGGACCTGGATGACTTCCTGGTAGAGAATGAGTGAGTAACCTCAACCGAAGCATCACCACCATGGACAGCGGCACCGCCGCCGGCAGGAGGACCCCTGGACGGTGTGTGGGCCCCTCAGGCTCTGCGCTGCCCGCTCCCAGCAGTATGGCCTTGACGTTGCCTCTCCTCTCTACACCTCCGCGCTCCGTCTCTCACAGGGGAATTACCATAGTACCTGCTTTACCGGGTTCTTTAACTAATAAATCAAAATGAATATTGAAGTCTTAGCCCTATGACCAGAAAATAATAAGGGGTCAATAATATTAAAAAACTGTTGTGAAAACCTCTTCTACTCTTTGTATACTGCATGTGTTTTTCCCCTTATCTTTGGACAGGATCACCCCAACACTCTCATTAGCACAGTGTTTACCTGTTTCTGGGGGTCGGTTCTGCACCCAGCAACTGCTTTAGAAGAGGCACATAGGAACTCTCCACACTATGTTTATACCTTCTCTTTAAGTCTGACATTTCAAAATGAAAAGCTAATGCTTTTAAATGGGATTATTTCCAACTTTATTATGAAGGAACCTCTGTCCCCATAGACGGCTAATTGATACATCCTTGCGAAGCAGAGCTACTTAGTCAAGCTACTGCAGTAAGACTATAACACAGGATAATGAAAAGTCAATTCCAAGGTACAGAAAATCCACTTTAATCACCACTATTAGTTTGCAAATTCACTAAGCAAGTGTGATGTCATCTATATGCTTAGTAACACTGACCACAGGGTGCCAGCAGCCATGCTCCACATGACCAGCTCTGTTATTAAGTGACTATTTCTTTTGCTTTAGCAATCCTGGATAATATGCTTAAGCAACAGCTCCACAGAGACCAACTTTCCGCAGAAAGAAAGTGTCAGGAAAAGACAACAGAGAGATGCAAAAAAGCCTATTCCAGCCTGCACCCCTCCCCCACCCAGACATCCCTGCCTTAGGGCACAGCCTTGGTCCATAGCTCTGAGCAGAACCACCCCTGCGAGAGGAGAGGGACAGGCTGTCCCGCTGCAGCGTACGTTTCTGCAACATGAGCTAAAGGCACAGGCAACTGGCAAATGCAGAAAGGCTTTCTGTAGAAAGCAGAAGCTGCATGGGTTCACAAATGCCATTCCTTTTCCCACATCAACATTTTGTTTCATTAACAGCAGCAACTGAAGTCGAAGTTCACTTAATACAGTAAGCCAGGAAGGAGTCCGCATTTTACAGTTAACCCCCCCCCCCTTAGAAGTGAGTATTACAAGGTTAACATTAGTCTTTGTTACATATATGTGTGTGAGTGTGTGTGTGTTTATATAAACACATACACATGTCTATACAAAGTAACAGAGTCCATGAGGAGAGCACACACCCCTGGTATTGGTACATTCCATAAAAGCTATCTTTTCTCTCCTTGCAACTTCTGATGGTAAGGTCCCTACCTCCCTGTATACAGAGAGAGCCTCGACCCTTCCTTATATCACCTTCCATTAAGCTACCGTCATCTTTTTTGTTTTAAGTAAAATCCTACATTTACTGTAGTGTTTGCTTATTAGAAATCTCATACGTCTTTTAAAGTGCTAGCAATTTTTATGAAATTCTTCTTCTTTTCGTTAGTATTCTGGTTACAAAGTTACATAAGCACTACTAATTTAAGTGTGAATTTGCAAACTGAAAAGTTTTCGAGAAATGCATGTATAATATTATAGTAGAAATGCATCTCTGCATACACTGAATACATAAAACGCTGTCCCAGGATCATTTAAAATATAAATTGTCATAATAACCCGGCCGGTGTGGCTCAGTGGATTGAATGTCATCCTGTGGACCAAGAAGTCCTGGTTCAATTCCCAGTCAGGGCACATGCCCAGGTTGCTGCAGGCTCCACCCCCAGCAGGGGGCGTGCAGGAGGCAACCAATTGATGTTTCTCACATCAATGTTTCTATCTCTCCCTTTCTCTCTCTCTAAAAAAAATCAATTAAAAAAATAAAAGGATTGTCATAATAACTTGTTTCTAAAGATTACTTATATATCAATGAAATGTATTCCTAATATCAATTTGTATTTTATACATTTTACATTTAGCCATAAATTCAAAATTTAGTCATGCATTTCTGGATCCGTCACATAATTCTTAGATAGGCTACTCTGAGGTCAACGACAACCATTATCTCCGTTGAAACCAGATGCATGCATTTTGTAAGAAAAGCAAATATTCTGTATTTTTTTACATGAATTCAATTATGAACACTAATCAAACCAATGCCAACCTTTTCAAATGAAGCGGTTTATATAACATATAAAAATATAAAGACATGTCTAGAAGTCATGTTCCCTCATAAAACTACATCATGCTAAAGAAGAAAGTAGTGTAAGACTTTTTATTTCTCAAAGGAAGTAACACTTACTACTTAATTATTTGTTGTTAAATAATATAATGCCAATCACTAAGCATTCTCTTCCGTAAGTAGTTCCTGCTAGCAACAAGCATTATGAAAAAAAACATGTTATTTGTTGTGCAAGACAGATACAGCACACGGCTGACTCACCCAAAGCAGTTATAATTTATTATATCAACATCAATTTGAATATACTGATTTTAAAATTCATTTACGTAATAAACATCAATCACTTTAATATCTACATAAAAGAACACTGTTCTCTCTTGTCTTTTTTCTAAGTGGTATAAGATATGCTGGGGTAATTGTATGAACCACGCAACCCTGAATTTCAAGGAGCCTTTTTTCCCCCAATTACCTGTTCAAATTCACTTGCTTAGAGACAGTATGTTTCTAATGGAAAAAAAGAGAGAGACAATTGTCTGCTTATAGTGTGACCTCTTTCACTTGGGCGGTGTCCTCTCCATCACCGACTAAGTGAGGACGTAACCTTGTCAAACCAAAGGCAAAAGCATGATGAGCGCGTGACAGGCTAGCCCAGCGTGGAAGGAGGTTGCTGAAGTGCTGGTCTGAATGACAAACTAGAAGGATACTCCACAGAGTAGGTTAATATTACAGAAAAGCACTCAAGAACATGAGAAGCATTTAATCCCCGTCCTTGGATGTCTGCCATACAAAACTCCACTCAAATGTACTTATTTCATTACTCACTAACCAGATTCAGTGAATATATTTTCAAATGACTCTTGGTCAAACAGGCTTGACAGAGACACACTTATAAAATACCTGTTTCCACGGGGCACGAGTGCAAGGTAAGTCTGAACAAGCCAATAATGGTTTTGCTTTCATGAAACAATTATAAATACCATCTGCTGAGAATGGTCATTCCGATTTGAGAGTCAGAAACGTGATAGGAAGTCTTTCTTCCCCAAACGGCGGGATTCTGCTGTGGTTAAAATTAATGACAAGAGCTGCCCCCACTCATGGCTGTCCCGGCACCAACTGGCACATGAGGGAATCACATTGCAACATTGTTACCAGTGGTTGAAACCAGGAGAAATAAACAAGTTCTGTTGCATTCTCAGTGATAATTCCCTTTAAAACAAAGGAACAGAAAACTCAGATCCAAACCATTCAAGCACGAGCTGGGACTATGTCCAACATCACTGTCAATCATGCCCACTTGGACGTTCCCTTCTGCATCAAGGCTGGGAAGAAATATATGCTTCCGACCAGCCGTCCCACGTTCACAGAGAAACAGCGCCACCTTTTGGTCCCAAACAAAAGCCTCCAGGGCGCTGGCCTTCCAAACCTTTCCTTGGGCTAGATTCCTCCGAGATATGTCACTGAATTCCACGTCAGCTATCATGATCTAGAACGACTTTGCACTTACACAAACTAATGAAACGTGAGAATAGAAGATCGCTTCCAAGACGCAAAATTTTAAATAATCCAAACTAACACCAAACACGTGTGCCCTAAATCACCAGTCCCGTAACTTCCGATCGACACTTCATTAAACACCTGTTACCAAACCCAAGTAGATCAATCAATAGATACATTTTAAATATAGAAGAAAAACCCTTTTTTATAGCCTCATTACATTTCAAAATTGATTTTTAAATGCATTGCATTTCAAATGTACCAGTCAATTTAATCACTGACAACATGGGATTAGCGGCAGATTACCAGTTCTATCAGATCATTATAACCGATGTACAAATATAGCATACTTCAGGTCTACTTACACCAACGACACAATGTCACCACGGTGGACTTTGAAATTCCTGACTTCCCAGTGGTTCAGAAGCACCACATCCGACGACCGGCTCCCGTCTGGGTTCAGCGAGGGCTAGACAGGGAGAGAGACACGTCCATCATTTGTGTTTCTCAGTCTGCTTGTCCCCTGCCCACCTTAGCTCCGTGCGGTGCCAGAAAACATCTCCGGCATCATCGCTTTCAATAACCCGCTGTTCTGACGGGACTGCACGCGGGGGCTTTTCCGGATTCTGCACAGGTGAACCAGGAAAAAAATGCATTCCCAACACTGACTGCACAGAACAAGGCGCTGGGTGTGCAAATGCTCCTAAGCTCCAGGAGAGGCATGGAAACCCTGCGAAGGGTTAGGAGACAAGAAGCAGAAGTACCTCAAACCTCCCCAAAGAAGATTCCAACAGGAGCTCGTTCCACCAGGGCACACGGCATTGCTCCCCGGGAAAGGACTCTCCCAAATGGACCGGACACGCCCACAGGAAGAAGTGAAGGGAGCAGAAGGAACCTGTGATGGGCCAACTAGGGAGTATGTGGAAATTTCCCACTTTGTCCTCTTGGCCGAGAGCACACAGGAAGGCTCCGGGCCCCAGGGGAAGCCGAGTACGTGGCCTGAGCCCTCGGGTGCAGACAAGCCTTGACGTGCCTGAGGGCTGATGGGACAAGGACTCATCTGAAGGTCAGGAATCAGGAGTGCTGAGTGAGGAACCACACAGCCAAGACACCTGACAGTGGACACAGGTGCAGAGCGAGTCAATGGACAACAGGACGGAACCTAGGACCCGGAGGTGGGGGCAATGGGACAGAGGAAACAGACCAACGAGGTTCTCACCACGGACTCCATGGGGTCTCTTACAACATCATTAGGGGAACATCCTCTCCTGTGGCGAGGGGAAGGTGCCCAACCACAGGGGCCGCAGGAGGGTACAACCTCAGCACCAGGACGGGCACCAGGAAGACAGTGGATGCCAGACCCTGGTGTCCCTGGAGCAGAAGTGACCATCTCTTCCTTTCAAGATTCCTGGAATTATGTGCTGATTTTCTACAAAGAAGATGTGGGCAACACTGTAGAAAGTGGGGTGAGGGGTGTTATCATTATCTTATTTTTGTTTCCCCAGGTTTTCTGTGTCTCCTACCAGTTATCCTTGGAGATCTCGAACACGCCCACAACTCCCTATGGACGACAACCCAACATCACCATCTTCAGCTTTAATTCCCTGCTCATCACTTCACTATCTGATACAAAATTCAATATGATGAAATAAAATTTTCCATCATTTCCTACCTTATTTCCTCACATCCTAATGACCATTTTTCCAGTCAACCAGCTTAAAATCTTAGTTATATTTCTACTTCATAGCCAACCAGTCACAAAGCTGAAAGTTTTTTTTATTCATAACTTCTTTCATAAAATAATTACCTTTACTACATACACCCTCATATTTTTTACTCTCCCCAGTCTGTGTTTTTAAAATTCTGTCTATAAGCAACTGTATTAATTTCACATCCACTGTATTGATTTTATAACCTAATTAAGTTATAACACGCAGTGCTAAAAGCAGTGTTAGATGATTCTTCTTCGACCATTACCCTAGGAAGGCTGCTTTTCCCTCCAGAATGCTTTTAGTTCATTCATCTCTGTCGTGAAATTCTTTCCCTAGAAAATCTCATCAATATTCTCAGTTGCAAATACCACCCACACCCCAGTGAGTCCTAAATGCATTGTCCCACATCCTTCCTCCTCTGAAGCCAATGCATAGTACTCCGTAGGAAAACACTCAGCATACTGAAAATAAATTTTGTTTACTAGTCTCCACAACTAAGTACTTTTTAGCCATTGTTATACTGCAAGTTAAATTGATACTCCAACCCAACTGCTTTTCTGAGATTCTAGCTCATCATTCTTTTTTTGAAACTTTGTTTTATTAATTTATTTTTGTTACAGATGTTTCTCCTTTTCCACCCTAGACACCCTCCTCCGATCCCACCCTCACCCCGCCCCCACCCTGCCCAGCATTGTTGTCTATGTCCATTGGTTATGAGTACACGCATGTAGGTTCTCTGGTTATCATTGTAACGGGCTGCTGGACAGCTCATTGGATCCAGCCACCCCCCTACACAAATCCGCCACTAGTTTCCCAACACCACGAACATGACTGTCTTCAAGATAAAAATCAAGATCCGCGGGACCCTATGCATCCCCCTTACACAGGTCCTACAAGCTGAACACCACCACAAGCAGTGCCCTACATACAGCTTATTCACTCACCGCCCACGGCATCCGAGAATCACGCCCTGCTCTCTGCCTTCCTACCCTCTGGGGAACACCCACTTCAAAGCCTGACTCCATGAGGCCTTCTCACAGGAACTGTCTCCTACCTCCCCAGGTCCCCAGCATCACCTGCGGTGATTCCCACCACGGCGTATCTAAATGCGCCTTGTAATTATCGCCTGGTCTCTTTCTAGGAGCCTGTAAGTATTTTGAGAATAGATTGTTTATGTCTGGGTTCTGGGCACCTAAGCACACACGACGATTAATAATTTTTACTGGGAAGAAAAATAATTAATGAAATGCCCAGACTCCCCTCATTAACATGCCAAAAACAGAGCTCATTTTCCACCCCAGCCCCCAGATATACTTCTGCACCCCCTCCCCTTGGTGAACAGTGCCACCACCTAGCCTACCGGCCCTTCTAGAAGACTCCGTGTCACCCTGAATTTATAACTTTCTATGAGTCTCTCATCATCAGACTTTCCCTCTGCTCTGAGTGCCTTTGATGGTGACTTCTCTGTGAATCCTTAAAAAAAAAAAGAAATACTTCGGTTTCCTTGCAAAATTAGGAAATTACATCCTGGTGCTCCAAGGCTGGGGCAGAAGAAATCCCCACAGACTCAAATCCTGACACTTGGATTCATCTGTCCTTTACAGAATCACTCCTCTACCAATTTCTAACACTAATTGTTAGAGCCAAAAGGCAATGCATTGTGAACAAAAGATCAACGCAGGGAAAAAACAAAACAAAAAACAGAAGGAAGCATGCGGAATTTCAAATCGCAGTGTACCAGAATCATCAGTCAACACCTGGGAGGCCGTGTCTGCGTTCACGCAGGAAACGACAAAGTCGTCTTGTGCCCTCCCCTCCTCCACGGAGGCCAGGGAGTCCTCACTGTGCTCCTCTAGCAGGTCACCGACCGGGCTCACGGTCCACCTGGCTGGAGGTCTCCGCCCAGCCAGGGCTCCTCCACTGCACAAAGCATGTCCCAGAAGTGGCTGGAAAATAGTCCTTCCATACTCTACAGCTTCAAGGACGAAAGGCCTTTGAAAAGCGTATTTAAATAAGATGGGCCATCAGCGATGTCCATGGTCCACATATACATCTCTTTCCATGAAAACATATTCAGGATATGTATGGTAAGAAATATTTTGTTCCCCATCAGGTTAGGCAATGTGAGCGTGGGGAATGAAGTTGAGCGGTGCTTCATTATCATCCATAATGAAATAAAGCTAATCACATCTGAATCCATTTTTTCTTTACTATTCATTTATGCATATGAACAAATGAATACGACTAACAGCGTGAAGAAAACCTTTCTTGAATTGGAAAACGAGTCGTCTACAACACTATAAATATAAAGAGTTCTGTGTACTTGAATTAAACAATTCAAAAAGGAAAAACACTTCAATTCCTGAGTTTTCTAAAACAACGCTTGACAAGAAAAAGAATGCACTAACTTCGAAATGAAAAATTCATAGGAAAAATTAAGAAACTGTAATTTGGAGGGTGCTATTTTAGAAAAACGAGTAATCGTGTTATTACTCAGAAACTGTACATCGTGCTTCCCCCTGTGGGAATAGCCGTGTATGCTTCCATCTTTCCAGACTGACGCAGTTACAAACGGGGGTCCAAACGCAAACCCTAACCTTTGCGGACCTGAGGTCACCACAGGCTCCTTACTTCCTCGTGGGTTGTCAATACGCTAAATCCGCCGTCCCTCGGGACTACGTCACCACTACCACCAGCTTAGATAATAACGTTTGGGCAAGTCATAAAGCTCAGGAACTATTTAATCTAGGCGTTTCCACCTGTATTTCAAAATGTGCGACTGGGCTGAACGTCCTGCTGGCGGTCAAGGTGACCCCCAGTAGCAAGAGGAAAACACTGGAAACCACAGGAATCGCCAACAAAGAGCCAAACCAGGCCGATGTTCTGCCCGTCTGTCCCTCCTGACTTCCTCCTCCAGTCTACTCTCAGCTCTACCGTGGAGCACACAGGTAAGAAATCAAACGCGGAGGGGTCCTTCGGTCACCCCTTGCTCTAACGACAGAAACTCTGCAAATCTTGGCTCCGTTTCCTGACTGGCCAGACGACTTTCGATTATTTGACCTTCCTAAGCCTCACTGGCGCATCTGTGCAGTGGGGTAGCAGGACCATGCCCCCCGGGGTGCAGGAGGATCTCCAGGTGGGACCCAGCAAGGCTCCTTCACAGTGCGTGCGGTCAAGGGTCGGAACAAGACGGTAAGGAGAGGCACCCAGCGAAACTGGGTCAGTCCAGCATCCTGTCTGAGGGAGTGAGCCTCTCCCTCCTGCCCTGCTATTCTTCATTTTAAATACTCCATTGAAGCCCAGCCGCGTGGCTCACTGGCTGAGTGTCAACCCATGTGCCAAGAGGTCGCCGGATCGATTCCTGGTCAGGGCACGTGCCCAGGTTGTGGGCCTGATCCCCAGTGGGGGGCGTGCAGGAGGTGGCCTATCGATGTTCTCTCTCATCAATATTTCTCTCTCTCTCTCTTTCTCCTTTCCTCTCTCTCGAAAATCAAATTTTTTAAAAAATGAACAAATATCCTTTAAAGAAATAAAAACTCCACTGGAAGTCTTCAGGCTGGAAACTCGACCCCTCATTTCTACACTCTTGAGAGTGTCTTCATTTCTGTTGGGCAGGTGGAAGGAAGCTTTATTTGGGATCTCAATTGTTCTGCCTCTAGGATTTTAACCCCCCAAAAACTTCCCTGTGCGCAAGTATTTAGTTATAAATATCTTCTATGAAAACATTATGCCCGGTATGTTTTCAATTTTCTTTTTT